GGGGGGGGCGGGGCAGGGCAGATTTGCCTCTGGAAATCATACTTCCAGAGTATTGGGTAGATGCAGCCCTATTACCTCTGTGGTCACACACTGGGAAGTTTGCACTGAGAAACTAGTTGCTATTTTACTATGAAACCTGCATGTTTTTCTTGCAGGCAAGGGGAACCTGGAGCATTCATATTTTTTAGGGAGGATAAACAAACTGAAGACTTTAATCTACCCTGGCTCATTCCTGGCATAAAGCCTCCAAGAAATTAGCTGACTCATACTGGCCAAGCAGCCAGCTGGGTGGGGGTAGGTTTTAGATAAACATTTTGCTATCAAGACCTGTCCAGACTTTGTTTATGCACTTCTTTTTCACCCTGTGCCGCCCATTCTGCAATTATGGGGGGCCCAATCCTGCTAATAGTGGTGACTATTAATAATTTCCTGGATGTGAGTATCAATCGATGCTCTGTGCACACAGTGTTTTGGGTGTTTGTCTGCAGAGCAGGACTCTCTAGGGTAGAGTTTGTTCTTGGCATGGGAAGCACCATCTGCCCCGTCTGAACTGAACGTGATGCAGTAAAAGCAATGTTTAGCTGAAAGGACATGCTTACTTTTTAAAGGGAAAAAGAAGGGCATAGCTATATATCCCAGTATCTCTGACACCCTGTTTGCACTGTGTCCTAGCCTGCTTCATCCACATTTGTGGGCATTCCCACGCTCTGACCCTGAACCACTGCAGCGTATCAAAAGCCCTCTGTGACCCATAAATGTCCCTTCTCGCACATTACTTGAAGGAAGAGGCATTTTGTTTCTGGTGTCAAGGCAAACACTGAGAAGGTGAGAAGATGATTTGTAGTAAGTCCCAAGGTGTTTTTCTCCCTGCAGCGAGTCTGGGCAGGCACAGTGTGCGGTGTTTTGGTTTGGTGTCCAGAGTCACAAAAAACCAGATTCTTATATGATTTTTCATAGGTTTCATGATAGGTATTTGTAGACTTTTGTATGAACATAATTGTTCATAGACTTCAGGCAGAAATGACTGAATTATTTGAACAAGTAGGTCTCCTCCTGCGAGCAAGGTGTCTGGGGGTAGAAATAAGCTGAGCAGCCCTCTCAGGTTAGACCCTACAGATCAGTACAGCAGGGGAGGACTGGGCTCTTTCCACTGTTGGGGTTCCTGCTGGGGTACCCCTTCCCAGCAGCAGGGACGAGGGTTTCCATCCCCTGCACCCAGCAGCATGGCAGGATGGGTATGGTGCCCGCTGGCGCTGCCCGGGGCTTCACTCCCCGTCCCCAGCCCCAGCTGGGGGATGACACCCTGGTCCCTGTCTCCCCAGCAAACAGATCCTGCAGGATGTCCTCTCCCCATGCTGCTTTGCCTGCTCCTATTTTGTCTCCTGCATGATGGCAAAACACCCCGGAGGGAGCCAACAACCCCCTGGGCGATGCCCGATGCAGCATGGTGTTGGCAGCACTGCAGGTCCTGGAGGGGCCGATAAGGTGGTGCAGGAGGGTGAGCACTGGCGGCAGCTCAGTGGCATTTTGCCTGCATGTTCCCTCACCCAGGCATGCACCCAGGCAGTGCTCGACTTGATTTATCATCATGTTCCAGCACACCATCCCACGTGCACTGGATTTTCTTGAGAAAAGGCAGAGGTAGGCAACTCTAATGAAGATTATTCATCCCTATTCCATTGAAAAAAAGTCTACAACTAAAGGGGGAAAGAGATATTATCAGGCTGAAAATCTCCCTTAGTATTTTTCTTTCTTTTAATTTATTTTTCTCCCATTCCTGGATTTTCAATAAAAGGCCAAGAAGACACTTAGCAGGAGGTGGTCCATGGACGAAGGCAAGCCCCAATGTCTGGAAAGGAGCTTGGTCAGCTCTTTAGCTCTGCCACAGCCTGGCCATCCAAACAACCCACCTTTTACTCGGTCACTAGTCCAACAAGACCCAGCGCCTCTTACTTAGCCCAATCCAAATCCTATGGAAAACATCAGGAAGACAGCGGATTGCCCCAGGTGCCTTGGGATCAGGATCAAAGCCCCTGCACTTTCAGCAAGGACTGTGTTTCTTGGAGTTTTAATGCAGAAAATAAAACAGGAGAGCCTTCTCATGCAAGGCCATTGCTCCTGGCAAGGGTGCATCACCCCCAGTGTGCGGTGAAGGTATCCGTACAGTTTGCTGGTGGCAAACCCCTCTGGGTCGCTCTGCCACGGGCTGCGTTTTGGCAGAGGCATTCATCATTTCACTGGTAGAGACTAAGGCAAGGCAGAGTCCAGCATGGGGGAGAGCCAAGGTGCAAGGCTCACACCCCATTGAGACCCACGCACACACCTTAAATCGTGACGGACTATTGCCCAGTGGCTTGTGCAGCCCTTTCTCTGCAAAGGGGCCCATGTCTAGTAGGTGAAATGGAGAACTGACCTGCCTGCACAGAGGGGAAGGGATAAAGCTCTTGAGTGCAGGATAACCAGAGGCCCCTTCTCAGCGTGCCACACCCTGGCCATCCCCTTCTGCTCCCGCGCTGGTGGGGACCCCCACCCTGGCCCCAGCCAATGACCCCACAGTGCAGGACGGGGAGGAGCTGCCGGCAGCGGATAAAAGCCTCCGCGGGGTCCGCAGCTCAGCTACAGGGTCTGTGTCCTGCAGCTCTGAGCAAAGCCGCCTGCCACCATGGTGCACTGGTCAGCCGAAGAGAAGCAGCTCATCACCAGCATCTGGAGCAAGATCAATGTGGAGGAATGCGGTGCCGAGGCCCTGGCCAGGTAGGTCCAGCTCCCGGGCGTCTGCTCAGCTGCACCCTGGGTAGAGAAACTGTGGCAATTGCATTGGGGAGCACTAACGTCTCTGTGTCTGCTTGTGTCCCCCCTCCATCTCTCCTCAGGCTGCTGATCGTCTACCCCTGGACCCAGAGGTTCTTTGATAACTTTGGGAACCTCTCCAGCCCCACCGCCATCCTTGGCAACCCCAAGGTCCGCGCCCATGGCAGGAAAGTGCTCACCTCCTTCGGGGAAGCCATCAAGAACCTGGACAACATTAAGGCGACCTATGCCAAGCTGTCCGAGCTGCACTGCGAGAAGCTGCACGTGGACCCTGAGAACTTCAGGGTGAGCCATGTTTGCAGTCCCAGCCCTTTCCCTATGTCATGTGGGGAAAGTCAGATTTTTGCTTTGAAACTGGGGGTATTGCCTCCGACAACGCTGTCTAGGCGTATGTACTTTGGCTGCTGGAGGCAGAGTCCCTGTGTAGTACCCAAGAGAGATGATGGCTTCTGCAGGACTGTTTACAAGACCGTGGGTGACTTTCACACTAAAAAGTCCCATTTTTAGTACCAGCACAGAAATGGGGAGGACACGGTATTGGGAGATTGTTACCTGAAGGAGATCTGGTTGGGGCCAAAAGAAACAAACCTGGGGGAAGGTGCAGCAAGGGTTGGAGGATTCAGAGGCAGAGGGGAGCTAAGCAGAGCATTTAAGGAAATCATAAGAGAAAAAGAAAAAAACCCAGCATTTTGCTGGGTAGGTCTCAGGCCAAATTGCTTTAGCATCCCAAAAATGGGGGAAAATAGTTATAAGGTTCGTTCTTTCTTTTTCTTTGTTTTTTTTTTTTTTTTTAAGAATGAAGCAAATATTATTTTCCCAAACCCCAGAGCTTTCTAATGGAAAGACTAAGGATTTGTTGTAGCAGTTCCAGGGAATGGGGAGTGAGCCAGTCCCAATAACCAGACCTGCAGCCCGAGGCCACTCTGATGAGGCAGGGGGGCTGAGGAGGAAGAGGAGGAGTGTGCAGCATGTGAGAGTCCTTTCAGGAGGGAACTCAGCCTCAGGGAGAAGTCAGGAGAAAGGAGATGCAGCCTGTCGGTTGCCGGGTCGTGTCTGGGGAGGATGGGAAGGAGAGGGACCAGAGGGAAGTCTGCAGCAGGAAAACCAGGGAGACGGAGAGCTTGCATAAAGGAAGAAGCTGATTAGAGCTAAAACCATGGCAGGACAGGGTGGGTTTGGTGGACTTGTGTGCAGCAAGAGGCAGAGCCTTCTTTGAGAGGTCCTGGGTCCAACAGCTCAGCCCCAGCTCGGGGATGCCGGGTCCCCACTCCATGGTCTGCTGTGGCACAACAGTTCAAGCAGCACTAACCCTGTCTGTTTTCCTCTTTCTCCTCCAGCTCCTTGGAGACATCCTCATCATTGTCCTGGCTTCCCACTTCGCCAGGGATTTCACCCCTGCTTGCCAGTTTGCCTGGCAAAAGCTGGTCAGTGTCGTGGCTCACGCTCTGGCCCGCAAGTACCACTGAGCGTCCCGGGACCGGTTGTGCGAGGAAGAGTCCCTGCTCTGCCACAAGCAGCCCTGAGCACGGGGAGATGCCCTTTGCGTACTGACAGGCTGTAACCACCGAATAAATACCTCCCAGCACCATGTCTGCAGAGTCTCCCTGTCTCTGTGCTGGGGAAAGTGGGGGGGCAGGTGGGTTTGTGCTGTCGAATGCAATGCCGTCCGTGTGTGGGTGTTATGTCTTGTTTCTAAGGGCTGCTGCGGGCGGTTTCCTTAACTTTACAGTGCTCTCTCATGTGCGTGCCCTGCCAGTGCATGCATGGGGGTCTGTGAAGAGAAAAACCCATGCAGAGGGCTCTGACACCCCGGGGTGTTTCAGAGAGGGTCATAGGAATAATGAGGGATTGCAAAGAATCCACATTTGTTCTCCCAGCTCTACGTTACTGTGAAATCAGATGAAGCCAGCGCTGTGCAGAGCACAGAGCTCCCAGCCAAGCTGTTGCTGCAGTCAGGGAGCTGGCATCTGCCTTGCCCTGCTCTGGGGCTGGGGATGCACACTCTCCTTTTAGAGCAGCTGATAGAGGAGAAAACCTTTGAACTCCGACTCTTGGGAAGTTCAGGAGATGTCCACTTCTTCTAGTTATATCAGCTGGCCTAACAGGAGATACTGCTTCCCCAGGGAGGATTTATCATGCTGGTCCACATAGCAGACCCTCATCCCCAGGCACCCACAGTCCCAAAGACCCCCCCTCTCTCAAGACTGAGGGTATTCAGTTCCCAACGTCACCTGGCAGACAAAACCCACTACGCTAACTGGTATCTGGGTTTTGCTGTGTGTCCTGGTTTTGGCGGGGATAGAGTTAATTGTCTTCCTAGTAGCTGGTATAGTGCTATGTTTTGGATTCAGTATAAGAATGTTGATAACACACTGATGTTTTCAGTTGTTGCTAAGTAGTGTTTATACTAAGTCAAGGATTTTTCAGCTTCTCATGCCCAGCCAGCAAGAAGGCTGGAGGGACAAAGGAAGTTGGGAGGGGACACAGCCAGGGCAGCTGACCCAAACTGGCCAACGGGGTATTCCATACTATGTGACATCATGCCCAGTATATAAACTGGGGGGAGGTGGGGCTGGGGGAATCACCGCTCGGGGACTAACTGGGCATCGGTCAGTGGGTGGTGAGCAATTGCATTGTGCATCACTTGTATATTCCAATCCTTTTATTATTATTGTCAATTTATTATTGTTATTATCATTATTAGTTTTTTCCTTTCTGTTCTATTAAACTGTTCTTACCTCAACCCACAAGTTTTACTTTCTTTTTCCAATTCTCTCCCCCATCCCACTGGGTGGGGGGGAATGAGTGAGTGGCTGCATGGTGCTTAGTTGCTGGCTGGGGTTAAACTATGACACTGTGCCTGGCCCTCCTTCTCCCATCTGAGGGGCCTTCATGGTGCATAGAGCAAGGCTGTGGGTCAGGCTTAGTTATTCATTCATTTGGACAAAGGTGACAAGTTCAATTTTTTTTAGCTGTTTTATTATACAAAACAGGAAAAAACATAGAACTGGTCAGAACTGTGTTTATCTTACTCTTAAACCTTGCCTCAAACCAAGACTGGACCCCCCTTGCACAAGGGGGCTGACAACCAGTGCTGTTTACAGCATCTGGCGCAGCAGAGTCCTGGCCGTGGTAGAAGTTTCTCGACTTACCAGGGAGGACACGGTTGTTTGGGGTCATAACCTTTCAAAACAGACCCTTATCTCACTCAGGTTCAGCAGGCTTCTCCTATGTGCCAAATCTGCAGGTTTTTGTACAGAGAATAGTGCAGCTCCCGGAAACGCTGTGCAGCCAACAGCAGTGCATCCCATGTGCTGACCCTGCTTCAAGCAGGGCATCAGGCTAGAGACCCCTGGAGTGCTCTTCCCACCTAAATTACCCCGTGGTTCTGCACTCTGAGTTTGCAAGATGTTTGCTTGCTTTTCTCACCTATGGCTTGTTTTGAAGGGGTCCAGAGAGAAACAAGTTGAAGGTACCTTTATAAATCTGCTTTGTCTGGATGCTGTAAAAGACAGGATTGAAGAGGGGTGGGAGGAGGATGTAAGTGTTGAAGATGGGGGTGCCTCTTTTGCAAATCTGTGCAGGATGGGCTAGCCAAGTTCTGGGATGAAGAAGACCGAGACCACACAACCTTCAGGCCCTTGTCCTTGGAAGCAATGCTGAGAGGTGTCACGAGGACCACGATGGAGGACAACAAAATGAAGAGGAGATCTGAACCCATAGTGAAGAAAATGAGGTCTGGGGCATCGATGCTTTTGAACACCATCCCTCTGGAGGGCAGCCAGATCACCCTGGGGTGGAGGCAAAGGGGATAGAACAAGGCGCTCCCTGGTCACCAGGCAGCCAGAGGAGATTAAGGACTGGGGCATGATCAGCACTGTCCTCCTTTGTGGGTGCATCAGCCCTATTTTGGCTGAACCCATGCCTGCTGGCACGGTCATACAGCTCCATGGGAGTCAGAGAGCCATCAGCCTGTCAAGGGGCATGGCAAAAAGCACCACTGACTCCAGGAAGGTGAGGGACCAGATAAGGAAGAGCTGAGACACATGGCTAATAGCCATGAGCAAGGACTGCAGCACCACTGGCATGGTCGTGAGACACAGTCCAGGGCCAGTGAGGGCCAGCACGGAGAGGACATGATGCAGGGCTGGTGGAGGCTTTGGTCTGCTTTTCTAGCATACAGAATAACACAATTTCCAATGCTTGTAGTGACATGAACAGAACAAATTGAGGTGGAAATCTGGGGTAAGATGTCCTTCACACCCAGGATGTGATTACCAGAAAGGCTGTGACCATGAGGCTGGTCCAGTGCTCGCCTCCATGAGGTGTTCCTGCTGTCCTCTCACTTCTTAAAAATTGCAGTCTGCACAGCCCATATTTGGTTCAGGTCTAGTTTAGAAATGACAGAAAACTCCTGAATCCCTATGAATTGCATCATGCAGCCCTGAAATGATGGGAAGCTCGCACTAGCAGGTTGATGGATTGTTCTCCTCTTTCACAGCAGCTTCTCTCAGACCTGAGGCAGCACTGCAGACCTTTGATGAATGAGCACACTGTGTTGCTTTGGAAAGAAAGGAAGGGAATTTCCACAACAGCACAGACGAATAACTGAATAGATTTCATGACAGGAGGAAATAGTGTTAAATTATATACATCAGAAAACCGTTGTGATCTCTGATTGCAATACCTGCTCTTCCTCAGCCACTGGGACACGTCACTGCTCCTCCTGGAGCCTGCCCTCCTGCAGACCCACCATGGAAATAGAGCCTCCAGGTTTGCAAACGGTGGGATGGAAGATGAAACTTCTTATTTATCTGGTAATAAGAATTGTTTGCAGTTTTCACAGGTGTTGAGAAAAAGAATTAGTTGAATATCTGTGCTAGGATAATTAATGGAGTCTGTGCAGTGAAAAATGTGGTGGTGCATTTTGTGCTTATGAGAGAAGCATTTGTGTTTTCTCTACAGTGAAACCCTCTTGTTAACTGCTGTGGCATATTGCCTGGAAATGGAACCTTAAAAACTCCTGCTTAAAAATATAATTAATTAATCAAACCCCAGAGACTTTTAAGGAATTCTTATTCGAAATTTAATGTCAATCTAAGGAGCAGGCTAACCAGAGGACTATCAGGTGTAATTATTTTTATCTGTCCCGATCCCCACACTTACCAAAATAACAGGAGCAGAGGAAACCCCGGTTCTTTTCACTTCTTAGCACAAGCCGAAAATAATGTTTAACTGACTCTGTGCTGCCCCTGCTGGGGTTATATATAGTGTAAGGCACGATTTTATACCTCTAGAGGGAATTCTCTGTCAGGAGCATCAGCATAATACAGCATTTCAGAAGACAGGTTTTACAGCTGGTGGGATTGGAATACAATTATAACAAAATTCAGCCATCCATGTGATATGTTTGTTGTGTTTTCCCACACTACTTGAAATGAGGATGAATGGCAATGTGCTTGTTCTGATTTTGAAAAAAGGTGCTTTATTGCTTTTGAGAATTAAATAAAGATTTTGTTTTCTCCAAGAAAAAGTATGGAAATACTCAAGCAACTTAATGACTCTGTGCTCCTGCAGCAACCATTACTGGTAGTTTTTTACACTGCATGTTATGTTACGGAGATATTTGGAGAGAAAATCTGCCTGTGAAACAGGGGGGATGCTCTTCAGCTTGCCTAGCCCATAGGAGAGGCCTTAATTTATAGGGCCACAAGCAATCCCACGGGTGACACTGGAGGGACAGGGCCAGCTCTGCTGGCTGTTGTCCATGAGCCACTCTGCAAGGACTGGCTGGGTACAGGACCACCACTTTTTTCCTGTATCACTAGCAAAATCTGATGTCATGGCAACTGCAGTACTGCTGTAAAAAACCTCAGAAAATATCATTTGGATATTAAGAGATTTTTGATCCACCCCCCTTTGTAACTTTGGAGAAATGAAGGTTTGAAACGCCAGAGTGACTTATTGTAGCTGATCTGCCTCATCTTTCCCTTTTTCTGCCCCCTTACCTTCTCCCACAGCTGCTTAGGGCCCTTCCAGCCCAAATTCTCTTCAATAAGAGAACCAGACATGCTCATTTTCCATTCCAAACCAGAAGTGGCAGGGATAACACTTCTGACATGATGATGAGTTTCTCTTTCATATCACAGAGACTCATCTGGCCAGAAGTGCAGGAGTTCTCACTATCTGGCACAAAGTGAACTCAGAAACCAAATTATTCTTTTTTGTTGTTTTTGTTGGCAGCCTTTTATCGTGTCTCCCTGAATCTTTCTTTGTCCAGGCTAAATGACCGCTGCTGTGCAGACAGGTCCCCATGCTCCACCCCACAGAAATTAAGAGTTCCTGCACTAGAGACCCACGTATTCACTACACAGTAACAAACATCATGGTAGTTACTGTGATTTAGATAAATCCACGCTGTCAAACCGCAGTGACTGACAGAGGCTGGAGAAGCACCACCTTTGCCCACACAGCAGAGACATGTGAATGACAGGGAGGACATGCTGGTCCCCAGAAAACAGAGCACCGACTCACCACAGGGCATATTCCCTCCTGTTACCTGACAGATCACAAATGGGAGAATCATCTTCTGGAGACTACCCAGCTTCATCCCAGGGTTGCAGAGTGATGATTAAGCTTGCCCAAAGCCTGCCATGATTTGGTGCTCAGCCACATGCCCCTGTGGCCACAGTAGCCTTTTGGGAGGAGGTGGCTGTGGTGGTCCTCTGGGTTGCTTCTGCAGGGACAGCCGTGGGGCAAATCACTGAGACATGCTCCAAAGCTTTCCCGTTACTTCTGCAGCAGCGCTCAGAGCTGCACAGACCACTGCCGCTGTGAATGACGGAAAGCACCCGCTTGGATGGAGATTTTTTGCAAATATGCTCACCCTGTCCTACTCGGCACTCCTACTGCTTTCTCCATGTAGCAGCATCATGCTGCCTCGTTGTGTCTCAAACAATCAAACAAAATGCTCTTGATCCTGCTTTGCCTTCTCTCTGTCCTACACCTTCTTCCAGGGAAGAACCTCCTTCCATGGAGGGGAGTGCTTTGCTTTGGGACAGTTTTGTTTGGGAAGTTTCTGTTTGCTTTATTAATAATTTTTATTTTATGTACATGAAATTTTCAGTGTTTGACAACACTAGAGAGAAGGAACCCCTTTTAGTGGGAAAGAAAGGCAAGACAATTTGGCTTGGCCTTTTCTGCATGTTTGAGTCTGTCCCAGATAATGGGCTTAGATACATAGGCTGAAATGCAGGCAGCTGAAATGCAGGCATTGTCAGGCACGATCTGTACTTGAATCACCGCTGAATCATTTTCCATTGGCACCTTGGGACAATATTCCAGCAAAGTACTTCGCAAACACTAGCCTTGGTCTTAGCTTTTTCTGTTTTGCCTCTGGTTTAGTTGCCCTATCCATAACATGGGGAGTATAAAATGTATGTATCTTTAAAAGGGTTTATTGGGATTCCACTGCTGCTGTTTGCAAAATGATGTGTATGTAAGAATGTTTTTGCATGGCCAAAAAGTAGGCTCAACCCCCACCTATTCTGGTACATGCTGATCTTGTGGGCACTGCACCTCCATCTCTCCATCCCTTTCCCAGTCCTCTCTCCCCAAAGTTTTGCCATGGAAGAACTTAACATCTTCTCAAGCATACAGAGAAAGAAGAGTAAGGCACCACTTTTGCACTAAAAGGCTTGGCAGGGATGTGTGTATTTTTCTAGGGGTGCAAAGATCTGAAGATGCACTCTATTTTACACAAAATTCAGTGATGAAGTCTAAGCAGTGTTTCCAGGGAGTTGCATCTCTATCTTAACCTTCAGATCTAGTTGGCAAGTGCAGAGCAGCAGTTACACCCTGGAGCTAACACCTACACTTGGGGCAAATAATTTACTTTATTCAATGTTTAACATTTAAAAAATTCACAGTTCTATTTTAAAAGGGAAGAAAAATCTGGTGAAAACTAATTTTTTTCATTGCTGGTCTGACCAGCATTTCCTAAACATTTATGATCCTTGTGTTTGCTCTTGCAACATTTACCCTTGTGCTGCCGCTCAGGCTACAAAAGGGAGTACAATCACCTTCCTGGACTGTGGAGTTGGTTTGCATCTCATGGCCTTGGTCCCTGCAGCAGGTCCCAGGTGACTGTCATTGCTGCTGAGATTTCACACAGGCATTATAAAACCAGACAACTTCCTCTGCATGGCAAACACTCGGGCAGGAGTGTGGTTCCCTGTGGCTCTGCATCTTCTGCTTAAGGACTTCAGCTGAAAAGAGGTAAGGGCATTTGAGGGCTCAGTGCACTTCCATGTCAGCCTTGCTTCATCACTGATGTTTTAATTTTGGGTGGGTCATTTTCCATTCAGATTTTGTGATAAAGGGTAGCTTTGGTTCAGCCAGCTTGCTTATCTATCACTGTGCATTCCTGCAGCTGTCTCACACTCTCCATCCATCCATCCATCCATCCATCCATCTCCCTCTGTTGTGCTTTAACCCCACAGATATTCAATGAACACCCCTGTTCCTCCTTCCCCCAGGTTTTATTGCTGAGCACGATGTTGTACAGTATGGAATATCCCATTGGTCAGTTGGGGTCCTGGCTGTGTCCCTTCCCAAGTCCTTGTGCACCCCCAGCCAACTCGCTGGTGGGGCAGGGTGAGAAACAGAAAAGACCTTGATGCTGTGTAAGCACTCTTCAGAAGGAAATAAAATATCACTGTTTTCTCAACACTGTTTTGGTCACAAATCCAAAACAGCACCGTGTGAGCTACCATGAAGAAAATTAACTCTATCCCAGGCAAAATCAATACACCCTCTAAACCCATCACCTCATGACCCAGGCAGCTAGTGCCAGCACACCCCTGAGCTGCCTGTTTATCTATCTGGCTATTGCTGCAACACAGGGACACTGCTGGGATGCAATTGCTGATATTTGGAGGAGGGAGTGGACATTTCTATAGAGAGTAACATCCAGTGTTATAAGAGCATATTTCAGACAGGATTTAAAGCCCTGAAGTCAAGCTTTAAGAACAGTGTTTTGTCATGGGATCTTTTACAAAACACAGATTATGCCCCATCTGCTGATGGGATGCTGTTTTGCTCCTGTCTCTGAAGTGGCTGGTGCTGAGCACACTTGGAGATGGCACGCCTGGAGATGGCGAACCAGTTCCTCTGGTCCTTACTCACTGAGAGCCTGACAGATGGTGCTATGAAGCAGGACCGAACGAGGATTACACTCTGTCTACAGGCTCCGTGTTCATCCTTCTGGGCAGGAGCTGAGCATCCGCTGGAGCCAGAGCACCCACTCCTCCCCCCTGGCACAGCACCCAGCTGGGCTGTGGAAATTCATCCTGTCCTTGTGTGCAGACAGAGTTCTTACGTGTCTCGACAAGGACAAAAATAAAAGGAGGATGGGAGGAGCAGGCTAGAAATATTCCTTCCTCAAGCTCACTGTGGAGCAATCAAGGTGAACAGCTTTGTGGAGGGGCACTGTGGGGGCAGGACGCCCAGCTCTGGGGCAGCATCATGGATGGAGGATGGGACTTTTCCCAGTTTAATAATGCACAGAGTGAACAAAGCAATCTTTTTATTTTTGTGGGACATTCAGAGCACGTTTACAGATGATGAAGATGAGGTACACATTCAAGGCTGTACACCCAGATTCAAATACTTAAATCTATATTTTCGTGTTGAAGATAATTAGAGCACCCTGGAAATCTGTCTGCTAATTTAACTTACCAAGCTAATTATTTAGCTGGAGAAGTAAAAAGTGGAGGCACAGATGTCTGGAGCTTTGTCTGAGAAGTGGGGCAGTTGGAAATAGACTAATTCCATTTTTCATGGCACACTAATGAGTTTAGCTGCATGCCCTCCAATTAAACAATGCCATGTTCCCTGTTTACAGAGACAGATGGAGTGTGAATTTCTTGAGTGCTGAGGGCTGGAAAAGTTTAAATTCTTCCACATCAGCCACTGCAACCCCTGAAAAGAGCAGCAGACAAGCCAAGCAAATAATTAGCATAGGTTAGAGGAGCATTTTATAACTTTTTTTTTTACTCACAACCCCAAAAGGTATCATTCCTGTATTCAAAGCTTAAGCCCTTTAAGCATAACTTTTATGATTTGTATTTCACATAGCAGTATATTTCCCTAAGGTGTCTGTGGGCTGTGGATTGGAAGCCCTTGGTTGACAGTTCTGTAGAAGAAATGAGAGCTGGGTTTGTGTACACATTGCTTAAATTTACCCATAACTGTTAGCTGTAACAACATTCCTGCTAAGAATTCTGGTTGCTGTGTATATTACTAACACACATATTGACTGAAATACCTGTCAGTTTGAACAGCTTGATGGGCTATCAGTAAGAACTATAGTAATGGCAACAACAATTAGAATAGTAAATAATCTCCAAAGTGAAGGGAAATTGTAATGTTCTAAATTTGCCAATGCCTTACCAAATTTAGACTTGCAGGAGTGACTGTGTCCCCTCGGGGATCACAGTGGGTAACAGATAAATTTCAGTGATTGCTGCTGTTTCTGTAGCTCCCGGGGACCCTTGTCAAGGAGCACAGTCCCACAGTGCAGGGTGCTGCACAGACACAAAACGGAGAAAATTGCAGCCTTTTCCCCCTTCCCTTCCACTGAAGGGTAGATTAAGTGATAGCAAAGGATGTGGCTGGAGGACAGGAGGACAAGCAGGACCATATCTGCCAAGAGCCAAGGCATGGTGCAAACTCAGCAGCTGGGCAGGGGGTAGTGGTTTGCAGAGCTCCAGACAGGGCATCCTGCACAGGGTGAAAGGCAAAAATCTGAAAATCTGGCAAGCAAGTTGAGGGAGCTGGCTGGGCAAGCTGGTACCTGCAAGCAAGGACAGACAACAGGCTGGAGGCACAGTCTGGGAGGGGAAACAGGCATCTGTCGTCTGCTGCCAGAGCCCATGGGCAAGGGGAGAGCTGCCCAGAGGAGCAAGGATGGTGAGAGCGACCATTGTCCTCTTGCAAAGTCCTGCATGGAAGTGCCTGGGGTGAGGCTGTGTGCATCAGGGACTGAGAGTGGGGGTGCGGAAAAGGCTGGGGACTGAGGGGAAAGGCTGAAAATCTGATGTAGAGAGCTGGAGAGGCACCCACATAGAAGCAGAGACCAGGGTCTGAGTGCCAGGGAAGGATGGCGATGTTGCTTACAGTGACTGAGAGAAGAGGCTGTAGCTATGTCCTGGGAGGGATATAGCCCTGGTGCAATTAATGACGTTATTATTGACTTTACAGGTGAGGAGCCTGGGGAACATAAAGCAGGAAAAAGAACTGAACCAGCACTGCAAAGTGGTTGCCTATGCTCTGGCATATCTTCAAGGAGGAGAATAGAAATGAGATCTTCACACCGAAACACCAGACTGTTCATTTTCATTGCCCTACAAAATCTAAACCTGCATTATCTTTGAATTGCTAATTAAAAAGGGGCCTTTAACGCAGGTAGGGTGTCAGCATGGAGCAAGCATGTCCCCAGGGAACAGCAGCCGTGCTCTGGCTTTCCTGCTGACGGGCATTCCTGGGATGGCTCGTTTCCACCGCTGGGTTTTCTTGCCTTGCTGTCTGATGTATCTCATCACAATGCTGGGAAATAGCACCATCCTGCTCATCGTGAGAGTGAATCGAAGGCTCCACCAGCCCATGTACTACTTCCTTTCGATGCTGGCCATCACGGACCTGGGCCTGACTCTGTCCACCCTGCCCACGGTTCTGCGCGTCTTTTGGTTTGGCAGCGGAGAGATCAGCTTCCCAGTCTGCCTCACTCAGATGTTCTGCATCCATGCCTTCTCCTTCATGGAGTCCTCAGTACTTCTTGCCATGGCCTTTGATCGCTACGTGGCTATCTGCTGTCCATTGAGATACTCCTCCATCCTCACCAGTGCCAGGATTGCAAAGATTGGGCTGGGGATGGTCTGCCGCTCTCTGACACTGCTCCCACTTATCTGCCTGCTCACGCAACTGCAGTTCTGCAGGTCCCACGTGCTGTCCCACTCCTATTGCCTGCACCAGGACATGATACGGCTGGCGTGCACAGACTCCACCCTGAACAGCCTGTACGGCCTAACCCTAGTGCTGTTCGTGATCCTAGACTCAGTGCTCATCACCTTGTCCTACACCATGATCATTAAGGCCGTGGTGGGCATCACCTCCAGAGAGGAGCAGACCAAAGCCCTCAACACTTGTGTCTCTCACTTCTGCGCTGTCCTCATCTTCTATGTCCCCATGGTCGGCCTGTCCATTATATACCGGTACGGGAAGAATACTGCACCCTTCAGCCACGTGCTCATGGCCAATGTCTACCTTTTTGTCCCGCCTGTGTTGAACCCCATCATCTACAGCATGAAAAACAAACCCATTCGCAAAGGCCTCCTCAGGCTTCTGTGTCAAACACTGGCCTGGCCTGGCCATGGCCAGCAGCCCAGGAGTCATTGAGAAGTGGAAAGCTTGCCTACATGAAATACCCATAAAAAGTGACAGGTCGAACATAAGCGGGAGTTTGAGAGAGAGAAAAACTAATGGGAAGAGCACCTTGCAAAGAATGCTCTAATTGTCAGTAGAACACTGTTTAAATGCATCAAAAGCAGGAATCCAGCTAGGAAACAGGTGGACCACTTGGTGACCAAGGGTCAGAAGCATACTCAGGGGTGGCAAGGCCATAGCAGAGAAGCTCAGTGAATTCTTTGCATCGGATTTCTATACCCAACACTGTCTTCATAGTAAATGAATTAGAGGATCCTGATCAGTTTGAAGTAAATATAGAGGAGGAGTTACATCAAAGAAATATCTGTTAAATATCACTAATTCCCAGGACCAGATGTCATTCACCTGAGAGTCTGAAAGGAGCTCAGACGTGAAGCTGCAGAGCTGCTGGGAAGGGGGCATCCCTCTATTGCAAATGGTCATGGTGCTGCAGGGCGGATCATTCCTTCAACTCCACCTGCAAAAGGGGCTCCATGGGCTTCCTGAGAGCTGCTGACCAGTGGGCTTGATTTCCATTGCTGGTGGGACAGTAAGGACTGTGGTAAAGAATAAAGTTACTAAGCATATGGGTAAACACGTATGGGTAAAGCTCTTGCAGAGTCACCCAGGCTACTGCAAGGGGGAATACTGCTGCAGTGGTGCGCTGGACTTCTGTGAAAGTGGCTCCATCTGGAGGGATCCCATGCCCACAATACACATGGATGCCCAAAAGCCTTTGGATAAATGCTTTTAATGAAATTACTTTGTAGGGGGATTGGAGGAAACCCTCTTCTAGCGATGGAATTTTGGTTAAAGTAAGGGTAGATAATTTTCAGTCTAGACAAGAGTCACCAGTGGCCTTCCCAAGGGATCTCTCCTAGGACTCATTTTATTCTGCATTGTCATCAGTGACCTGGATGAGGAAGTGCACAGTGAACTCTTGAAGCCTGCAGATGGCACTAGGTCAGCCACTGGACTGACAGCAACTGTCTTCTATGGTTTTATAAGATTATTAAAACTTTATTTGCAATAACAATAAATTCTTGGCTCCACATAGAAGGTGTGCTTCCTTCTGCTGTAATAAGTGAGTGTACCACAGCCCCAACACACACAGAACCACCACAGGACTTGGTAACATCTGAATGTGATAAGCTATTATTTGGATCACAAGTCCCACAGAAGTGGGTCTCAAAGCAAGCATTTTGAAGAAACTCTTGCTGCATGGTGGTAGGTATATGTAATACATCTGTTGATAGTTCTCCTGGGCTGCCATGAGAGACAGGGAAACCCCATGAAGGTTTGTCAAACCCAGTGTTCAACCCTCAAACCCTAGGAAGGGGGCTCAGCCTGAGGAAGGTGGCTTCTGTTGTCTGGGACACAGCAGCGAAATCTTATCAGGTTACCTGTAAAGCAGTGATGGCCATGCAGTTCTCAGTCTGACTTGGAATGTGTAGGGTATTTTTTGTTATTTTTCTGTAATTTCTCTTGGGTATTCATTTGCCCATTTAGGCTTCAGTAAATACCAGTGTTCCTTGGTTGTTCTCAGTAAAGACAGCTTTATGTAAGGGAAAAAAGAAGGCAGGATTTATTTTGGCCCTTCTTAACCCCTCCTGGGGTGGTCGATGCTGCAGACCTGTGAAGAAGGCACTGGCCTTTGATGTACAGCTGTGTTCACAGCAGGGCTGCAAGCAGCACTGCTACTGATGATTTTGTTTTGTTTTAAGTGCATGGCACTGCTTTGACTCTCTGCTTTCTAACCTTATGCCAAAACAATCCTATTCAAATAAATGGAAATCGAAGCAGAGGGAGGTATGGGGAGCAGGCAGGATATTCTGGGGTGAAGCCAACACCAACTATCCACTTTAGGGTGATCTGAGCCACTCTTCTCCAGGCTCTGTCTTGATTAGATCTCCTCCTGAGTAGTAGGAGCTTAAACACCCAGTGCACATGGAGGCACCTTGTTTCAGGGGTCCCCAGTGGGGGCTGGCTCTCCTGTTGCTGTAATAGAGGATGGTGGAGCCGCTCATACTAGCTGGGGATCTGACCTGAGCCCTTTTTACGTATAATTCTGCTCCCATTATGACCTGATGGTATTGTGAGCCCGGTGCTGCTGCAGTGATATTGTACAGGCTCCGTTCCCACTGGGGGTCTGCACTGAGCCATTAAGTGGCTGGTCCAGGCAGAGCAGACGCCCAGCTGCTGTGAGTCTGCAAGACCCCTGTGTGGGCTGGTTACAGTCCCTGGGAAGGGAAATGTGTGGTGACTTTCAGCTCCTGCAGCACGAATCACAGCTTTTGGATATGTCTTGTTCCTGCTGGAAATGTCACCTGGCTGGAACAAGAGGGCTTTGCCATACACCCAGCTCCTTAGACACTTCGCAGTCCTAGCAAGTCTGGCTGCAGGTGTAAAAAGCTTGAATAAACAGCTATTGCATGTATATAGATCTATGCTCTAGTGCATGTTGATGCACTAGAGACTACATGGCTGAGCACATCTAGGAAGCATTAGATTTTCCCTGCACATACATGCACAGGCAGTGCTAGCCAGGAAGATCAACTGCCTCATTCTGGCAGGAGCTCTGGGTCCAGCTGACCCAGTGCCATGGTGAAGGTGGGAAACTCTTACCCCACATGTCCATTGCTATGTCCTCCTCGTCTAAAAAGAAGGGCCATTAGCTCAGGAACCTCAGGCAGTTGCAGCTCCTGCATTATTGACCAGGAATGTATAGAAGACTGTAGATACTGCAACACTCCTTTATACAGCAAAGAAAATGCTGTGGGTCTAGAAACAAGGTATATTTCATCTACTGCACAAGAGGAGTTTAAAGATTCAGGATCCTCAGCAGTCAAACGGATGACAGGATGGAGTAGAGAGTATCTAAACTATTATTCACCAGCTGTTCTACTATATGCAAAACATCTTGGGGCTTCTGTGTCCTACATCAGCACCTTCTTGGAGTGAGAAGTTTGTGTATCCCTCTGTGGATCTGTTTAGTTTTTACACTGTAAATAATGGGGTTTAACACAGGGGGTACAAGGAGGTAAATATTGGCCATGAGGACATGAATCAGAGGAGACGCAGGTTTCCCAGACCTGTACACCACGGATATGCCGATCATTGGGATATAATAAATCAAAACAGCACAGATATGACAGACACAGGTGTTCAGGGCCTTGAGATGTTCTCCCTTGGATGTGATACTCCACATAGTCTTAATGATCATGACATAGGACAGGATGATAGACAGCAAGTCTAGGCCAAAGGTGGCCAGGACAACAAATACATGCTATTCACCTTGATATCTGCACAGGGCAGCTGGAGTAAGTTGGGGTGCAAACAGAATGAGTGAGCCAGCATGTGGGACCTGCAGAACGACAGCTTCTTCAGAAGGATCAGCAAGGGGAGCAAGAGGATAATGCTCCTCACTGTGAGCCCTAGCCTGATGACACCTACCCTGGGGGTGGTCAGGATGGATGAATACTGCAAGGGACTGTAGATGGCCATAAAGCGGCTGAAGGCCATGGCCCACAGCACCCCAGAGTCCAGGATGGAGAAGCAGTGAATGAAGAACATCTAGGCAAGGCAGGCATCAAACCTGATCTCCAGTGAATCAGAGAAGCACGCTCAACACTGTGGGGAGCATAGACAGAGACACACCAAGCTCTGTGATAGCCAGCATGCACAGAAAGAGGTACATGGGCTCATGGAAGCTGTGCTCTGCTTTGATGACAAAGAGGATTGCACTATTTCCCAGGATGGAAATAACGTACATGCAGCAGAAAGGGACAGCAAGGCACAAGTTCCCACTTTCCATTCATGGGATTCCTGTTAGAAGGAAGGTAGAAGGTCTAAGGAAGCTAGAAATGTTGATAATTTTCCTAGTGCAGCATCTTCGCCCTGTCAAAGATCAAGCAGCAGATCCCACTCATCCTACAAAGGAATTCACAGAAATCATAAAAGAGTAATCATGCCATAAAGCAAAGCTTTCTTCATTTCTTCACTGCAGTGATGGGATCCAGTCTTCTGAGTTTGCTGAGACAGCAAGAGAGCATTTTATCTTTGTGATCAGTTCTTGGCATGGAGAACTACAGCTCCCAAAAGTCAGAAATCTTATGGAGATGGAGGCACATATTACCTAGTTGATCATTGAATTATGGGCTTCTCTATGCCAGGACACAGAGAGCTGTTTACTAGATTGACAGATGTGACACTGTATTGACTGTGTTACACCAGACAGCAAAAAGACTTGAGAGGTGGCATCATGGATGAAGGGTGAGAGCAGACTTGTATCTCATACAGAAAGCCCACCTCTGGACTTGGGAGTCATGGAGGGAGTTCACTGGTCCTTGCTCTGGCTTTTCTTTGTCCTGCAGAAGAGCAAGAGAAGGAGCATCGTGGCAATACTTAGACCTGTGCTCTGACATTGCCAGGTGACTCCCTCACCTGGATATCTGAGTGTAGCTTCCCATGCTTTATGAATGAGATTCCCATACCCCTTCTGTGCAGGTATTGCAGAACACATCTTCTCTGCTGGCTGTGAGCTTCATCCTCATTTTAGATCTCCTTTTTTTTTTTTTTTTTTTTTAATTCTTTGCAGCTCTAATTTCTTTCTTTCTGTGAATGAATATCAGACTTGGTGATCTCTTCCTTCCCTAAAAATAACCTTGGCAGCAAAGAGCTGGTATAAGTGCCTTTGCACCAAGTGGTTTCTGCATCTTCAAGAGCAGTGCACAGCTGAGAACTCAGTGCAGCAACTTTTTGCAGGATCCAGCCAACAAGCATTCACCAGAGTGCTGCCAAGAAGCAGCACTGTGAACATCTGCTAGCCCAAGAGTGAAAGATTTTGGACTTGGATATTCTTGTATGTACAAATGCAAGTGTTCTTTTCCAGTATAAATGAAGTAAACAATAAGCAAATCACCCTCTCACAGGGAGGAGAGCTCTGGCAGCTCCCTGTGGTGTACAAGAACCACTTCTGCATGCTGATAAGAGAAGATTTCAGTCCTACTTACCCACCTTGCCAAGCTGTAACACAGGCAAGGATTGTTCTCCCTTACAGGTGCCCCTCACCTAGGTGCAGATGCCTGCTGTGTACGTATCAGCATCTCAGCTGGTTGTCTGGACCCCACCAATCGCACTGGGGAACAGGCACTGCCAGAAGGCAGTTTGTCTCACCCCAATGTCTACCCCGCTCAGATAAACAGTGCACACAGCCCTCATTGACAAGAAGAGGGTCTGAGGGTAACAAGTTCCTCATTATGTGCACATCATCCCTTTAAAACTAATAATCACTTTAACACTAATACTACAGTAACGCTGACAAAACTGTCTGAAATCACTAACAGCTGACATGTGAAAAGCAGCCCAGAAAAAGCAGATCACTTTGCCTTAAATATGGAGCAATACCTAAATATGAGCTGCCTGAGCATCTTGCCTCCAGGCTGCCAGTGAACGCATTGTTGTATCACCACTCCACAAAATCCCCCAGGACTCCCAGGCTCACTGGATACTTCTGCTTCTTGTTTTTTTGGTTGATACACTTTCTCAAAGGACATGATGCAAACATACCATTAAGAGTGAATCCCAGTGTCAAGTGGGAGGCTACTATGGAATTGCCTTGGGTTAGCACCAGGAGCTAAATAGGACTAGAAACTAGGTGTGAAGTCAAAGCAGGACTTGAATGTGGTGTTGGCTTCTGGCTTCAACATGGAGACATCAGTCAGGAGGAAACTTTCCTGGGAGACCCTCTGTAGGGGTGAGAAGGACACGTGTGAACCTACCAAGAGGGGAGAGCGATGGTGGCAAGATCTCCCTTTCCTGGCAGCTGTGGCCTCAGACACCATTGTCAGGAGATGAAACTCCTGAAAACACTGGGCTACCCATCAAAATGGTCAGGTTTGGCTTTTTTTAGCAATGGAATCATTTGTTGCCTTTGTATTTCAAAGCATCACCCTGAAGTTGTACACCCACTCACCCCATGAAAGTGTGCTTGTGTCCCTGGTTCGGGTACAGACTTCCTCAGCTTTCCCACCACTTTCTCCAGGCAGCTCACATGCAGCGTTAGCATTGACTGGAGGGAACTACTGACCCCCTCCCACCCTAGCAACCACCCCATCCCTACTGTGCAATGATCCAGACATCACAGCCAGATGTATTTATTTACAGAGAAGGGAATCCCAGAGTAAGAGCCTAAGCTGTTGGTGCTGAGTATCTGATAGTATGTGGTGGTAATGGCTTGTATGCACACATCTCATAGGTCACAAGGAGCTGTATGAATCAGCCAGTCTCCTTTGCACATATCTGACCAGCAGTGATCCCCTGCTCTCATTTCTTATTTAAAAAAGGCATCTCTTAGAAGACGTCTCCCATTACCACTGGAGGAGGCAGCGTGGTGGAATGGATGGACATTGGTCATGAGGGCAGCTCCTATGTTCTTAATGAAAATGAAAACAACAACATTTTTTGTGGAGCCTGAAGAAAAATGGGGCTTCTACCTCGCCAGAATGGTGGTGGGCGAGCATCAGTCCACAAGAAATGGTACAGCCCTACTTTATGAAGTGGGTGGTCTGAGACCGGCTCTTAGGCAAACTGCAGTCATCTCTCTCCGCCTTTGGTTTCCCCTGCCTCTCATCTGTGGTCCGTGAAAAGCTACTTCTGTTTTATCTGAAGAAAAAGGGTGAATTGAGTTGAAATGTAAATATTCTACTGAAACAGTGCCAAAAAAATATTCATTTCCCATTTTGTCTGCAGCCTAACATCTGCTTTGCTTCAGCAGAAGTGCATGTTCTCTTCCTGGGGCTCCCCCTCCTGCTTCCCTGCTGGTATGGAGCTCACAGAGAGATAGCAGAGTCCAGAGGCTCCTCATGGGTGGTCACGATAATCAGGGCTGCTCAGGAAGATAGGGACCTCCAAGAAATGCCAGGCCAGGTCAGAGATCTCCTCTCCATCCATTAGTGCTCTTCAGTTTGCACTAATAGTAGAGCAAAAGTCCATAATGTGCTTGAGTTTGGTAACTTGAGTTTGGGTTGTCTGACCTTCACCTCATTCTGCTGCCTACCTTTTTCACATATAGAGCAGTGATTTTGTAAAACATATTTACCTGTTTATTGGGATAGTTGACTTAGTATAGTGCAATCCTGTTAGCAATGATCTTGCTGTGATAGGTCACCCCAAATAACTGCATCAGCAAGGATTTCTGATATTTTTTAAAGGGTTTACATTTACATAGGACTTTTGGAATTTGCTAGCATAGGATTATTGTAGGTTTTGCTTTCCTTACAAAAAAAAGGTTAATGCTTAAAATTTAATTCTACCTATTTCCTTCTACAAGGACAGTCACCATTCCCATCTGACCACCTTCCCATAGAATCATAGAATCATTTAGGTTGGAAAAGACCTTTAAGATCATCAAGTCCAACCATTAACCTAACACTGCCAAGTCCACCACTAAACCATGTCCCTAAGTGCCACATCTACATGTCTTTCAAATACCATTACACAGTCCAGGAAATACTCTTCATATAATGAAAGCTGCTGCAGGAAGATCTTTTGGAGATGTTCAGCCTTACAGTGTAAATATTTTAATCATGAGAGGATTTTTTTTTTTTTTTTTAATAGTGAAAGAATTTTAACAGTGAGGAGTTTAACTTCTGGAAGGGGTGAACTCTCCATCTCCCAGTGGTGTAGAAGCCAGACTGAATGTCTTTATGCCAAGTTTCATCACAAAATGGCTGAAACCTCCTGGACAGGGATAATGCAAGAGACAATCTAGTGATTTCTGCAAGAGTGCATTGCTTAAACTCCAGGCACTGAGGAAGGGTTCCTTCCTGAACAAATAAATAGTCACAGCGTTAACTTGCATTAAATTTACCAGCATCATCAGTAAATTATGAGTACAGTTTGAGGCACATATGTATGTGTCATGTTCCCTTTTGTTGGAAGAGGAGGACCACCCTGTCCCAGAGCTTCTTGGTTCTCACCCCATAAACAATGGGGTTTAACATGGGGGGCACTAGCAGGTAGAGATTGGCCACCATTATATGGATGTGGGGAGGGATGCTCTGCCCAAACCGGTGGGTGAGGAACGTGAAGAGGCCGGGGACATAAAAGGCAAGGATGACACAGACATGGGATGCACAAGTGCTGAAGGCTTTAAGTCGTGCCTCTGTGGATGACAGCCTCATTACCACCCGCAGGATCATGGTGTAGGACAGAGAGATCAGGATTATGTCAAATCCTGTCACTACGAAAGCCACGAAAAGGCCATAAATGACATTGACTTTGGTGTCCCCACATGCCAGCTTCACCACGGCCATGTGCTCACAGTAGGAGTGCGAGATGACATGATGCTGGCAGAAGGGCATCCTGCAGAGGAGGAAGCAGAAGGGACTCACAAGGAGGACCCCGCGCACCAGCACCAGGCTCCCAAGGGCCACAACCACCTGCACAGAGAGGATGCTGGAGTGCTGCAGCGGGTAGCAAATAGCAATGTAGCGATCCAAGGCCATGGCCATGAGCACACCTGACTCCACCGATGAGAAGGTATGGATGAAGAACAACTGAGCAAGGCAGGCGAGAAACCCAATCTCCCAGGAGCCCAGCCAGAAGATGGCAAGCATTTTTGGTATCATGGATGTTGATAGGACCAGGTCAGTGAAGGCCAGCATGGCCAGGAAGAGGTACATGGGCTCATGCAGGCTCGGCTCTGCCTTTATAATGAGGAGAAGGGTGATGTTCCCCAGCACAGCAATGGCATACATGATGCAGAAGGGGAAGGCAATCCAGAACTGCTCCTCCTCCAGCCCAGGGATGCCAACGAGTAGGAAGTAGGGAGGGTGGGAGAAGGCAGTAGAGTTCAGAGACATTAAACCGTTCTTGTCTCTTGCCTACACTGAGGGCTCTTGCGTCCTGTAAAAAAGCATCAAACACCCTCGACCTGATTTGGTCAGTGGCAAACAGAGACTGGCATGAGGTATGGTCTAGAAGCTCAAATTCCCCACACAGCCATCCATCCCTGTGACAGCTGCTTGCACTGGTTCAGGAGAGCACTTCTGAAGCAAGTGTCCTGCCAGTTTCCACTGAAAGTCCCCTGTCCCACTCGGTGGAGTGGTCCTGGAGCATGCAGACTGGATTCCTCCCGGATCAAATTGAGCAGGAAGACTGCCGAGGCGCACACCCAATACTCTCCAGTGTCCAAAGGGTGTCCAGCCCAGGAGACCAGATTAAAGCTGGTCTGAAGTAAACCTTCTTGAAATGTGTGTAGTGGGGATATGAAGTCATTAGTGCCAGCCCTATAGCTCTACAGAAGCTTTTAACAGCACTGAGCTGCTTGCCAGCCTAAACAGAGGCAACAAGTGCTTGCCTCAGTCAAGAAACATCCAATTTCAGGGCAAAAAAACTGAGCCAGTGCCACAGTATTTGACACCCCTCACACACAAATGTAGCGCTCCAGTGATGTCCGTTCTCCCCCGCAAAAAGACTGCAGCTCACTCAGTCCTTGCACATTGCTCAGCTCATGTTTTTCTCCCTAATACCTGGGAAAAAGGATTCCTTGAAGAGCTCTGCAGCACAGATTAGTCCAACGTACCTGACCTGTTAAGACCCTTCAGAAACCTTCGTGGGGCTGACCGCGCTTGTGCTCAGGAGCTGCAGGGAGCAAAGGGATGGAGGAAACCACAGCAGCTTCCCAGAAGAGAGCTAGGCTTTTCCTCCATGAGGGTCCAGTGCTAGCTGAGCCAGCTCCCGCTGCATCCGGAGGGAGATTTTACACCATGACAACCGCAGCCCAGCCCAGCATGGCCACCAGTCACCAGCTGGAGCTGGGCTATTGGGGCTGTGCTTGAAACCTTACAGACACATATGGCTTGGGGTCACCTGCATTCTGGGAGAGTTTTCCTGGTTTTTTTTCCATGTGAAGGCTGTAAACATCCTAGGAACTGAAATTCCCAATACTTTTCTTTCTTCATTCCACCTCCTTCCTGCCAGCTGCCTCTGTTGGTGCTCCTTTATCTAAAACTTCATTCTTCCATGGAGAACACCAGAACAGGGAATGCAATTCCCAGGCAAAGGCAATGTGAGAGTAGGAGCGTGCCTGCAAGCTCCATGAACTCGTGGCTGTTCAACACTTGCTGCTGCTGCCCAGGAGGAGTGATGGCATAAAAGGCTGTGTTGCAGAGCAACAAATTGCTGCTCAAACCCTAAATACTCACCTGTCTCCTGCAGGTTTCCATGCAGGGACTCTGCACTGCAGAGACCAGGAGATATTTACCTGTCTGACAGATAAATCCCGCAGGGAGCTCTGCATTTCCCCTGCTACTTAAGGTGTAATTAGAGAGAGAGAAACATACAGTTTTTAACCCCCTCAGTGCTGATGACCTCATAGACACAGCTGCATGTTGCCCAGTTTTGTATCTGTTTTCTTGCAATGTGTTTATTTGGAGGAGACTTAAGAACGATGGGGCAGTTCAAGATTAAATCACAGGACTAGGTTTGTAATTAAAATTGCAGCAGCATGAATTATGAAGTACTTTCCAAACAACAGCAACCTATCCTTTCTCTGCTATTTTTCCTCCATAGCTGTAATACAGGCTTAGAGAGGGAAGTCAGCAACATCATCCCCATTACATAGATGGAGAATGGTGAAATAATGAGAGGCAGATCTGAGAGCCCTCCGCAGGTTTGTTAAGTAACTCTCACTTCTGTGTGGCACACTGTACGTCCCTGTGCTGTTTTTGTGGTGTTCATGCAATATAGCATCTCTGTGCCAAATCATTGGAAATGCCAGTTTCAGTTAAAAAGCAAATCGTGCAAATAAGACCCCCTTCGTTTATTGGAGAACCAGATCAAACCCCAAGGCAGACTACTGAGAAAGTCTGGGGCAGCAGAAATGCCAAAGTGTGCAAAGACACTGGGTCCCCAGGTCCAATCCCAGGAGTACTTGGAGAGAGAAGAGAAGAGAAGAGAAGAGAAGAGAAGAGAAGAGAAGAGAAGAGAAGAGAAGAGAAGAGAAGAGGAGAAGGAGATTGCTTGGAGATTGTCCAGGAGATCTCCAACAACTGCTCCAGCCCCATGCAAATCCTTGTTACCTCCATTGCCACCTCCAGACTCCTGTGACTCCCAATCCTCTCCCCACTGCTGTGCAAACCACACTCCCATCCTGTCCTGTGAGAATCCCATGCAGTTTTCATCCATACCCAGAAGAAATTCATCATACCTCCCTGCTCTGAGGCTCTATTAACTGTCTTTCTGAGAAATAGATGGCTAGGAAATATAACACAGCATTTTCAGGGTGGCTCATTCATTTTTCTTTATTAATTTTTCTCTCAGCACAAAAGGAAAAAAAATAAGGAACATATGGAGAATGAGCAGGAGCCATTTCTCAACACCACGGCCATCTAAAAAGAGTTTAGATTCATAGCACACCTCTGAAAAATTCATTCACACTTCTCAAATCACATTAGGCAGGTACAGATTGGTTTTATTTTTATGAAAATTTTTTACTCTTCTAAGCACTAATAAAAAAGAATATGACAAAAATGACAGGGGGCAAAATTGCCTTTAAGTCCCAGATGGCAACTACTTGTAACTCACTTAAATGAAAGTATTTATTTTGAGATAAAATGTACTTTAATTTAGCAGAAAAGGTTATAACAAGATGCGTTTCATGAAGACTGAAGCTATACAAGTACAGACTGCAAAAAGGACAGCCATTTTACTCAGTGTTAGCTGGCAATTGGAAGAAACTGCACCAAACATTGCTGTCATTTGAAGTCCCTGATGCAAGACAGCATGAGTCTTTGGTAAAATACCTCTTTTAGCACACCTAGAAGTTATGGGCAAGATGCAAGAGCCCCCAGGTGCAGTGCTTAGACCCATCTTCTGTCCTCCTTGATGGAACTTATTGTTCATTGCCTGCTTTCCATATATTTCTCTGTTTTTCTCAATTTATTTCTTTTTCACAGCTAAACTTGCTTATACTACACCAGCACATACAGGGGCAACAGGAGCACATGCCAAGCAAAGGAAGGTTGCCCAGAGGGGCTGTGCTGCCTCCATCCTTGAAGGTTTTTAGGACCCAAATAGATAAAACCCTGCACAAACTGGCCTAACACCAAATGAAACTCCTCCCTACAAATCTTAGACCATCAAGCATCCTTCCACTTGCATGGTGTGAATCAGTGCAGATTTGCATGCTCTATAATATTTATTTTTGTCTTTCCTCCTTCTCTAGCAGTTACTCCTAATATTCATTGTTTCAGGCTCTGGACTGACCTTTCCGGAGAGTGATCTGCCATCCTCCCAAAGGATTATCCCACAGTCTACTCAACACTTGCTAAACCACATCTAGATACTGCATCTGGTTTTGGGCCCCAGTGGAAAAAAGGCATCAACAAAGTGGAGCAAGTTTAGCTGATGGCTCCCAGGGTGGCTGGGGTTGGAGCAATGCTCCATAAGGAGAGGCTTAGGAAAATGGGCTTGTTCAGCCCTGAAAAGAAAAGGTTTCAGGAAGACCCAACAGCAGAAGAGCAGCCTTCCTCTACCCTCATCAAGAAGATGGAGCCAAGCTCCTCACAATGTGGCATGACAGGAGAATGAGAGAAAACAAGCATAAGTTGAAACAAGAGAGGTTCAAACTAGATATAAAGAGAAGCTTTTACACAATAAGGACAATCAAGCACTGTAACAGAGACCCAGAGAGGTTGTGCAATGTCCATCCTTGGAAACTTTCAACACCAAACTGGCTAAAGCACTGAGCAACCTTGTCTGACCCTAGAGCTGCCCCTGCTTTGAGCAGGAGGTTGGATTAGAGATGTCCTGAGGTCACTTCCAACCTGAATTACCCTGTGATTCTGTGATAATCATCTACTGATGGAGACATCAGTGTTCAAGAGCACCTGGGCCTCCTGATGGAGTGTAGATCAGCCTTCTTAATAATACCTCGTGCTGCTCTACTCACCTGTGAAGAGTCCTGCTGTGCAAGGCTTTGTGCACTACTCCCTTGTGTAGTGAAAGCCAGCATGTTCAAATTAGAGGTCACACAACCCTGGAAACTCTCACTGGAGGAATCCCAGGGACTCTGGCAGTGGGAACAGCAAACACATCCTTGTGCATGGCAATGCAGCCACCTCAAGGATGAAGACCATGATTCACAACAACAAGGTACGACTTTAAATTGAGAGGAAAAAGAAGAGATTGCTTGTTTCTTTCTATTTATAAAGAAACAGATTTATTTTTAAAAAGACAAAGAACATTAGGAAAAAAACTAGGAGTGAACACTCTTCAAATCTGTATGTTTCATTGTAAAATCCTATTGTACAACATCCTTTCCTAGGATCTTTAACCTTTTTCCAAAACGTGAAGCGGTGTCTCCATCCTTAGAGATATTCAAAAGCTGTCTGGACACAGCCCTGGGCAAGTGGCTCTAGCTCGCCCTGCTTGAGCTGGAGGGCTGGACAAGATGACCTTCAGAGGTGCCTCCAACCTCAACCATTCTGTGATTCTGTGATGGTGTGAAAATAAATGCAGTATACTATCAGACGTTCTTCATCAGCCCTAAGGCTTGTTGGCCTTCATTGCATTAAAAGAGTTTTGTAGTAGTGTCCCACTGGCAGAAGAGTAATGAGAATAAAGAGAGGAAAGGCTGTCAGGTACTCTGTTTCATGGGGAATACCTAGAAGTATAAAAAAAGCTTGAAAGCTGAAGATCTTGAACTTAATTCATAACTTCTTAGGAATTCCAAGCATGTGTGAAGTCAAAGGTATGAAACACCTTTGACTTGGAAATACCATATCCTTCAGCTTGGAAGTATCACTAACATTTGTAACTTGCCTATTTTTTGTCTTGAGACATTGTCATTTTATTGAATAATTAATGGATATTATTTTTACAATTGCTACCAATAACTCTGGGTCTGAAATTTTTCCACAGCATCTGCTACAAGGAGGCTGAGCTGATTTGACTGAATACCCAATAGGTCAGAACAAGACCACAGAGGTGGAGGACTTCTGAAGTGCATTTCTGCATCTATAATGTCACTTGCTGTAATTATTTTACTTAGAGATTGATGCTACAGCCAAAGTTTCTAGCAAAAATTTTGCTAATGTGTTTTTGGAAAGTGAATGTGCCACAAGCGGATTAACTAAATCATTCAGAAAACACTGTAACATTCACTCAGCTCTGCCATCATTACGGGTGAGATGGGAACAAAGAAGTGCAATGTCAAGACATCTTTATTAGTTCAGTGAGCCACTTTTCCTTCCCCTTGCTCTACCTTCTGGATCAGGGTTGGTTTTAGATCATTGTAGTAGAATCTCTCCAAGTTAGGTGAGAGTAAACACTCTTGGAAGGAGTTTACAATTGCTATTTACTTTTTGCCTTCTGGTAGCACCTCAGAGTCTCCTATCATGTGCTAGGTGCCATACAAACAGAGGACAGTCCTGCACCAAAGACTCTAACTGTAAAACAAGATGAGCTGGTGTGAGGATACAGGAGAAAGCAGCTGAGCATAGGTCAGTGGGCAGTTCTGTCATTGTTTATGTGAATTAAATTCAGGATCCTCCTCTGTATCTGCTTGGTCCTCACCCCATAGATGATGGGGTTGAGCACAGCAGGCACCAGGATGTAGATGTTCCCCATGATGATATGGACCAGCGGAGCCAGGTCCTTCCCAAACCTGTGCACCACGGACAGCCCAATCAGGGGCACGTAGAAGGCCAGGACCACGCAGATATGGGCAACGCAGGTGCTGAACACCTTGAGCCTCTCCTTCCATGATGCCAGCTGCAAGACAGCCTTGAGGATCAGGATGTAGGAGAGGCAGATGAGGATGGCGTCTAGCCCCATGACCAGCAGGATGGCGGTGAGGCCGTACACCACACTGGGGGTGGTGTTGGCGCAGGCCAGGTTCATCACGTCCTGGTGCAGGCAGAAGGAGTGTGACAGCACCCGGGAGCTGCAGAATGGAAGGGGCAGGAGGAGCAAAGGCAAAGGCAGGAAGAAGAGAACTCCCCTGGCCATGGCTACCAGCCCTATTTTCACTGTCGCAGAGTTGGTGAGGATGGCAGCGTGTCTCAGTGGGTGGCAGATGGCCACGTACCGGTCCACAGCCATGGCTAGGAGGACAGTGGACTCGATGGCCGAGAGGGTGTGGATGAGGAACATCTGGACAAGGCAAGCACCGAAGCTGATCTCCCTGGTGTTGAACCAGTAGAAGGAGAGGACGCGTGGCACCGTGGACGTGGACAGGGCCAGGTCGATGGCAGCCAGCATGCAGAGAAAGAAGTACATGGGAGCATGCAGGCTGGGCTCCGTCTTCACGATGAACAGCACCACACAGTTGCCCGTGACCGCTAAGATGTACACGGAGCACAGAAGGATCGCCATCCAGAAATGAGCAGCCTCCAGCCCTGGGATGCTGGCCAAGATGAAGGAGGATGGGCTGAGGTCAGAGCTGTTGGGGAAGGGCATGGCACATGGGGTGAAGAGCAGTCATACTATGCCATGGTACATCCCCTGCTGCAAGGGAAAGAGAAACATCAGCTTTATAAATCCTTTCCCATGACCGTGAATCCCATGGGGCTGTGCCTGTGAAATGTGGGGGAATCTTACAGTTGCCATACTGATACAGAGAGCTCCTCTCTTATTTCTTTAGCCCATGATGGCTATAAACAATAACATATGCAGCCACAAAATAATGGCATTTGAATTTGAACAGGAACTACTTGAATTCTTTTAAATGCAGAACACTGTAAAATCAACATTTTAAATGATAAACCCAACAGCTGAACTTGTTTTCTTTTATTTTTTTAAGGGCAAAATTAAAAAAAAAAAAAGAAAACAGATTTTTAGTGCTTCCTGTTAAACTCCAGTTCTGCTTGAGTTTTTCCATATGTGCTGTGCTGCCCTGTCAGAAATGTACTCTGTGAAACTGGCTGTGCTGCGTCCCACAGTCCACCACTCCCAAGTACTGCAGACACGCACAGTGAGACATGCATATTTATTTGTTTGCACACACAAATCGGATTTTCATCCTTTCTGCCTGAAAACACATATAGAAATATCAGAATATCTGTAGAGAAAAAAATTCTGATTATTTACCTTATTCTGTACCTGTAAACTTTCCAGGAGTACTGTGATCCAAGGAGAATGGTGAGGAAGATATGCAAAAGCCTTTGCTTTAGGTGCCTTTCTATTCTCTGGGATCAGATTTTTAAGAATATTGGGATTTAAAAGGTGTTGGTGTGGAACGTCAAAGGCCAATGCAATGGCCCCAGCACTGCCCAGCCCAGCCTCATGTGGGAGCGCTTGGGACAGGGCTGCAGACCCTGCCTGACTCACAGCCCTGAGCTCTGACTGAAGAGAAGAGGGGGATTAGCTCGATCTCCTGGGTGGCATGGGACTTCATCCATCCACCTCGATGGATCAGGCAGCAAGTCAGTAGCTGGCTGTACCTGCCCTAGAATAAACCCACTGTCTCCCCTGCCCTTTATGGACAGCATGAGGTCAAGCACATAACTGCTATCTGAAACATTTCTGAGCTTTCTGATTATTTCTTTCACACCCTATCCATGTAAAACAAGGATGCAAAATTTTTTTATGGCGAGCTCTGCAGGTTATTAATACAGCTATTTTAAAAGTCACATTTGGTTGTGAAAAAGTTTGCGTTTTTTTACTGCACATCTGTGGTGAAGCCCTTATCCTAAAATAGCAATCATGATTTATTTCCCTGATGTGGGGTTTTTCCATCTTGAATCTCTAACAAATAAGACTCATACTATAGCTTTTTATATACAATTTACAAACAGCATAGGTGGGCTGTTACTGTCAAGTTGTCTAAAAGCTATTCTAGTGATGAAATTTTCAGCAAACCACTTACATTATGATGCAAGCTGAATGAACAAAGCACTTCAGTAACTGTCACAAGTATCTGAGCCAACTTACCTGCCAGCCACTGAGCTGTAATTACAGTATGAGTCTCATTGTAAAATATTTGCCATCCTATTCATTTCTTTTGAGAGAACATGACTGTGAGAGACAGACATACAAAGTAAATAATCGCTCGATATTTCAGTTCATTTTTAGTTCTTTGGCATCAATAAATGCACCAACATTTTCAGAAGTGACTAATGATTTTGGATTGCTGGTGGGATGAAGACCAGGTACTGTAAGGACCTTGCTTTCTGTAGAGATAAAAACTGGATCCATGGTTTTAAAAACACCAGTAAATGCAGATTTATTTTCCTAGGGTGATCGTCCCACCAGCAAGCCCCAGTAACTGCATTTAACAAGAGGTAAGCACATTCAGACAGTAAAACCATCCAAGCCAGAAGACCACTAGCAGCAGCCTGATCTCAGTAAATGCTCATAAACATTGACCAGACTTGTCCCATGGAACCAAAATGGGTCTGAGACCAACTTCCCACGATGGAGCAGGCAATGGGAGAGTCTTCACCATCCTAATCCATCTCTCCACTGCTCCCTCCTATGACAGAGGGAAATATGTATACCGCCTCAAAAGCCCTCTGAGCCATTTTGAATATGTAGCCATTTATCCATATCATCTCACCAGAAAAAAAAAATATACATCAACCCAAAATATTACTTCAGAAGGAAAAAAGAAAAGAAAAACTAAAACCACAAGGCATCACTCAAATTCAAAGCATTTTGAACCAAAATTAAAATTCATTTTAATTGATGGCTTGATCAAATGTGTTTTGCCCTTTTTTTCCTAGCTGTTTGTCATCACTTATAAGCAGAAAAAGCTGTACCTGCTTGTAGCTCTGCTGCTGTTTTATAAATATGCCCATGTCCTGGCTAGGTCAGTTGCTCTGGGCAGGCACTTGCTGCGTTTGGAGTCATACAAGCTATGCCTGTACTAAAGTGAGCAGGACATGGCTGGAGCCTCATCCCACCATCATCCACACTGTTAATTCCTTCCTCACCTCCAGGGACATCCCTGGCTGCTGCCAGCTGGTTCTGCCCCAGGCAGTGCCCAGGCACGGGGGAGCGAGTAGCACCAGCCGGGGAATAACGTCCACTGGGCTGTGGAGTAAAGCCACCCTGGTTAGGAAAGGAAGAAAGGATAGTTGTGGATGTGGCCAAGAAGCACCAGGTGTCTCCAGGACAGAGAACTGTCCTCCTCTCTCTTTTAATTATAGTGTGGACAAAGCCACAGAGTGCAGCAGGGACACACTGCTGCATAAGGGTAACGGGAGAGTTTCCTAGGGCAGAGGACACACACGGTGCAGGGCTCAGGGAGGACTTGGGACGGGAGGAGCTGGCAGTGGGAACCAAACAGACGTGGCAGGAATGGTCTTCCTTCTCCTTCTCCTTCTCCTTCTCCTTCTTCTCCTTCCCCTTCCTCTTCCCCCTCTCTCCCTCTCTTTGTCTCTCCATCTCTCATTACCCCCTTCCCCTCCCCTTCACATTCTTCTCTCCTCCTTCTCCTCTCCTCGAGATGCTTCTGATACATCTCACACTGCTCTTCCTGTGCCTCATAGGAAATAAATCCATTGACAGGTACTGTGAGTGACCCCATGGTACAAAGTGGAGAGCTCAGGGCATCACAGAATAGGAATTAGAAGCTTTAAGTGGTTCATCTCTCTCTTTTTACTCTCACACAGATGTTAAATCACAATTAAGTTTCCCATTCCCAGAGGCAGCCACAAAGCTTTTTGAACATATGTTCCTAAAAGACAGTACCTTATATAGAGGTTCCCAAATCTTGAGCATCCGCTTGGTACCCTCCAGCTACACAGGTTGGGAAGCAAACTGAGTGGCAGATGAAGCTCTGCTGAAGTGGTGATGGAGACGCACCAAAGGCACTGCAAGCCTCACTCCACTGTGGTCTCCAGCCGTGCTAATAAATGTGCTAATAAATCTCCCACACATTTCCTCCCTGGCTGTCCGCCCCGAACATTTGCTTGCTGTGACAGAAGCTCCTTGGGCTTTTGCTGTTTCGGAGAATGGCTGTAACCAGGAAGCACGGATGTTCAGGAAGAAACTCTGGAAGTTTTCAGAATGGGAGCAGTGCTGTGTGAGAATTCTGCAAGCTAAGCATCTTTCCAGCAAAGCTCAGTTCTAGGCTTTTCTGCTGAAAGTTGTGTTTGTTCCCTTATGTTAATCTTTCCTCTGATAATAGCTGGCTACAAGCACCAGGTCAGACCTTAGATATTTTGAGCAAAGAGTGCTCCCATTGGGTGCTATGTCAATGCAAACAGGACTCCACCCCAAGACCCGCTGTGCCAACGCTCAGGCAGAGGTTCTGGGGGTGGTCTGCTGAACAGTATTTCACTCTGTGCAAGGGCCCACTGGGATCCTCAGCAAAATAACTAGCACAACACAAAATGAACGTGGCCTGGGAATCCTCCCCTCAGGAGTCTTCCCTTCTCCCTTTCTATATTTGTATGGAGATGTTCCCTCATTATTCTTTTCTCTCTATTCCAGGTACTGTTATGTGTAGAGCAGAATAGAAAAATATACTAATCCTGGGTTAGTCTGAAGTGTGAAGTGCTTAGCAGCAGGCAGAAACAGGCCAGTTCTGGTGCAATCCTGTCCCAATACCTTCTGCTGCTTCACCCTTCCAAGGTGAACACTGACTGTTTCTTCTTATTCTCCACTGCGGTCAAGACTGGCCAAAATATGGCTTAAGATCAACAAAAATACAGCTCCATAATTTGGAGGCATGAAAGATGTGGGGCCATTTTATTCTGTCTGTGGGAGCATGCAAGCCAGGAGGATCATGAAATCTTGCTGCGTGTCTGGCTGAGACCCCTCCTACAGCAGAGCAATAAGATGCTGGGAGACACTGTCACCTCCCATCTGCGGACTGGCCAGTCAGTACCTGGCAGGTCTCAGCTGGAAGATTGTAGTACATGGTCCTTAGTGTCAGGAAGTTTAGCCATTCCTATTATATTTTTTAAACTCCTCTTTTTCAGCACGAGAGCTAGACACACCAGACCCCAAGCACCATCCTGATGCATACTTAATTCATACGATCCTGTGCTCACCTACAGCAAATCCTGAAGATTTTAAGCAACTCCAGCCTAGTATCTCTGCATCATATAAACAGAAAAAAAATGGCTTCATCAAGTCTTTTGACCTTTTACAATGAATAGATGTCTTTTATTGAAGATCTTGCATACATACATTACATTCAATGCAAAACAATGGCTGGAACATTGGCAAGATGGTAAGACTCGATGACATCAAAAAGAGATGCAAAAGCAGCACTGTTTCCATCACTGTAGATGTGTATGGCACTTCAGAAGCAGATAAAGATGAAGGCTGAGCCTTTTTTTAAGAAGGACTGAGTGCTGTGGGCCCACTTAACAGCATGTGATCTTCAGAAAATGCTCTGTGCTCAGCCTCTGGAGCTGAGCTCCATCTTGTGGGATGTTTCCAGCTGAACAGCTAATGACTGGGATATTCAGAGTGGCTCCAAACTCTTGGCCCAAGCCTTGTCCTGT